AGATAAATTATATAGAAGAGAAAAATACACCCTGTGATTATCTTATTAATAATTACCTGGGCATGGCTAACATAGCATTAAAGAACACTGAAAACATTCTTCTTTAAAAACTAACTTCAAGATTTTGAAAATGGTTATTTATATGAAGTTCAACAAGGTCCTAAAATCTTTTGTCACTAACTTTTTTAACCATATCTATATTAGGGAGAGCAGTAGGAGAACTGGCTTTCTCTCTCTCTCCCCTGCTCCTTTTTCTTTAAAAAGGCCAGAAATTTACTGCCAACCAACTCTTCCTGGTTTTGCAAAGCCCAATGGTATGTATATGACATGAATTACACTATATTAACACATTATATAAAAAGGCGAGAGTGACGAGCCTTTAACAGGTATTGTCATTAGCCACATTTAGTTAGCCATTAAACTAGCAAGGTGTTGATAAAACAATTTCAGAGTCTGATGAAAAATAGAAATCTGGCCTGCTCTATCTACAGCTTTCCTATTTAAGGAAAGGTATGTCATATATTTGATTTAAGCCTGATTTAGAATGGCCTGGCTTGGGTTACTGAATTGACAGATGCAAATTAAATACCAACAATTTGAAATCAATAAATTCATCCACTTAAAATTTAAAAAGAAATTTAATTTAAACAAATACAATTGCTGCATTTAGTAAGTTGCACAAGAGCCTTTAGAAGCTGGCCTTCCCTCCTAAATAACTCCAATTGCTTTGGCTGTACCTGCATTCCATCTATAAGGATGTATCAATTACAAACAACAATACTATTTAGACACACACATTCACATATGTGTTTACATACATGTGTGCATATATATAGGATACCACACAGTTCTCCAGAAATCATCACACTAACAAACAAAACAGCAAAGAAAAGCTTGAACAGAAATATGACTTCATGGAGTATGTGTAATGCCCACAAAAATATTACACTTCTTTTGTAAGCATTTAGATGCATTTAAGACACTGAGATCACTCTAGGAATAACTAAAGATAAATCAGCTCTTGAGTATCCTACAGCCTTCTACCTCATGCTCCTAAACCTAACTACTCAGCTTAAATCCTTTCTTTCATTCTGCTAATTAAAGAGGTATGCTGGTACTTTATTTCATGTCACAGTGGAACAAGTATTTGCCCAGCGTTACAGGTCATATATTACAAAAACATTTCACTGGGTGAACTGTCTGCGTCAATGGATTCCAGGACTGGAAATCACAGAACCAATGGATTACTCTAAGTCGTAGGCTTATACTACGGAATTACTAAATTCATTTATTTCATCTACACTGTTCAGCAACTAGAATCTAGATTTTGTGAAGAAAATAATGCTGCATTTCAATTTGTGCTTTTGTTTATTGAAATCGATCTTGAAAGTGAATGTGGAAGCTCAGACTTCAGTTTCACATAGCGATTAACAAATTTCAAATAGGCACAGCAGAAGGGATAACATCGGTTTTGATTTTAAACGCTTCTGTCTTTCTAAAGTAGAAATACTTTAAGTAGAGTAGCTCTGTGGTGTTGGACGGGCTGCTTTCAGGACACTAAGCCAGATGTAAATGTTCCTTAGTCTGATTGTTCGGTTTGTAAATGAAAACAAATTTAAAATCAGACCAACATATACATCTTTTCTAAAAGCTCTGACAACTTCCGATGCAAACCCCCCACTTTGGAAAACTCATTGGAATAATGGGATACAAATCTAAATAAATATAAATATACAAAAATAAATAGAAAAAGGACAGAAACGTGTAAAAAAAAGTTAAGCAACTAAGTATTTCAATCTGTACGTTTATAGGCATGTTTTATATGCTAGAACATGTGTAAGGGAATTGTGTTTTCTCTGCACATTTTATATAGGGCTCCCCCAAAAAGTTCTACCCTGGAGAGTGCAGGGGAATTGCAGGCACATTTCATATTCTGTGGCTAGCTTTCCTCCTTGGTACAGGTGCTTTTGCAGGCGTCAGCTTTGATCGGCCTGGGCTTGTTGGCTCAGGCGCCCGCGGGGCTGCCTCACTTTCTCACGGCCCGGGTGCTCTCCCAGAGCGGCTCCTCACGAGCTCAGCGTGGCGCTGCCAGCCGGATTCCCTGCTCCAGCCACGCTGGGGGACACGGGCCACGGCGCACAGGAGCAGCTCTGCACAGCGGCGGCCTCCAAGACGGGGCTGACACCACGAGCAGCTTCCCCACTTCCTCGGACGAAGCCCGAGCCCTGCGCTAACGCCCCAGTGCAGACCCCAGGCACCTGCACGCGCGGGGGGACCCCGCTGTGGTCCCCAGACGCCAAACCAGCCGCTGTGAAGCACGAGACACCCCACATCACGCTCCAGGGGCACCTCTCCCCGCCAGGTCTCTGCTCCAGGCCTGCACCCTGGCCCTGCACGGTCCTTCTCCATCACTGCTGCAGTACAAGCTGCATTTCCAGCTTCCCCAGGCCCTTCCCGAGGGAATAAGAGAAATATGTGCAGTTATCCCAGCCCCGTTCCAGCACCACTGCTCAGTGACCTGCGTGGCCAGGGCAGCCCCTCTGCCCGGCATCTCAGCCCTCTCCTCCTCCCTGCCCGGGGCCGGCGCCACCATCATCCCGCTCACCCGCAGCAAAGCCGAGGCAAACCCCTTCGGATGCACGAGCTAAGCTGTTGGAATAACAACTGGAAAACAACAATAATGAAGAAAAAGAAACGTCACGGAAACCGCGGCGCTTTGCGAAGGCTCCGAGCAGCCACCGGGAGGGAGCGGGGACGCGGCCGCGCAGGAGGCCGTGGGCAGCCCGCGCCCCTGGCGCCCGCTCGACCGAGGGACGCGGGGAGGCTACGAGGTGCCCGGGGCCGCTGCGAGCCCCGCGGAGCCGCCACGGGCCGGGGGAAGCCCGAGGCCGCCGCCGCCGGGCGGGTGACAGCGGCCGGCCCGGGCCCTTGGCGCCCCGCTGGCGGCGGCTCCCCGGGGAGGAGCTGTCAACGCGGCCGCCGGGCCCCACGGCTCCGCGGGCCGGGCCGGGGGGTCCCCGCGGGGCGGCCTCACCTCAGCGTGGGCCCCACGCAGGCCGTGTCCGTGCTCTCGATCTCCTGCAGGATCCGGTCGTGCTCGGGGAGACTCTCCGCCATCTTGGATGGGAGGGACCCGGCCGCCGTGCGGCAGCCGCGGCGGGAGGGAGGGAGCGGCCGAGGGCGGAGGGAGGCGGCGGCCTCGCGGCCCCGGCGAGACGCGGAGCGGCGGCGGCCGCGCTGCCCCGGGGCTGCGCCGGGCCCCGGCCCCGCTCCGCCCGCGCCTCCCGCGGCCGCGCTGCCCGTTAGAGCAGCCTCTGATGGCTTCAGGGGACACAAGGGGCCTTTTAATTATTAATATTAGTTTGGGGCTCGTTTAGGGGCTGTTCCTGGGGCTCCCTATGAGCGAGGCGGCAGATACAGCCACCACACAGCTTCTGTTGGCAGCACCACAGCACAGAACAAGCTGCTACCAACCACCAGCTTTTTCTTCTTCATCATCATCATCATTGTCATCATCACTCAGTTTAGATCAGCTGCGTCTTCACTTTCCTCAGGTGTCAGAAATCCAGGGTTACATGGAAGCACCCTGTCCCACACCTGGTCCCGTTTCACGCTCACTAGAAACTCATATAATTTCCTGCATCACCACAGCTGTCCCTATCATTCACTTAGACTCCCTTTTTATTCTATTTTCAATGAAGAAGGGATAACTCATTATTTAAATTACACACTTTGTGGCGTGTGGCTGAAGACAAGCTGCTCCTTGGGTTTTGCATGTTGAGGAGACAGGATACACCTGCTTGCAGGGCAGAGGTAGCTCTGTGCAAAGAGGGAGCCAGCCGCAAAAACAGGGCTTAGGCATGAAACCAAAGGGTGCTGCGTGGCTGCTTTTCCAAATTAAAACTGGCAAATGCTTATGGTTACAAATGCTTCAAAGTCTGTGCACCAGTGAGCTACAGTAACGCTCGGCATCCTTATGGCTGCTGTTGTCAGACTTGTATCATCTCCTGCCCTGGTGCAACTACACTTGGACACCCGTGAATAAACATCGCTTAGGACTATGCGCATCTTGTCTGTTCTTGTTCTATCATAGTCAGTGTTGATTCAGCTGAATTTATTGATGACACCTACTGAAACAAGAGGGAGGAGCCCAGATGTAGACAAGTGCCTACAAAGTGTATACTTCAGAAAGAAAATAGGAAAAATCCTACAGGCTATTTCTGCAGTAGTATTTCCTTCAAGAAATTATTCAACAGTAGTAACAGTCTTCCCCCCCACCTTTCTTTTTTTAATCACAACATTATTTCGGTAGATTGACACAGACATTTTTCAGTGTAAATTAAATTTTCTTTCTTTAGCCTAGTAGTGCAACCTGACACTTATAATCCCAGGCAGGCTATTTTTAAAACTCTTCTACAGATACTAGCAATATACTTAGGAACACAACTTTATAATATTTCATACATTACTTTTGTAGGGTTGAATATCTGAAGGATTTTTTTTTTAGATGCACTTTTACCATTAAACTGTTTCCATTAGCTGTAAATTAAATAATATTAAAACCTTCAGATATTTACGTATATTGCTAAATAAACTTTACTCCAAGTAGCTGTGCCTTCAAAACGAAAGTCGTATTCAGTAAAAACTAAAAGCAAGTAATCGTAAAAAGCTGTTGCTGTCAACATCAAACTAAAAGCACCCTGCTGCACAAGAGTGATTTTTTTTTCCATGTTCAAGTGCAATTTCTTTCTTCACAGAGAACCTGCAGCCAGCCTTTGGTAATAGCTGTCTGTGTCCTCATAAAAACAAAGAGTAGAGATGATGCCCTCAGTTCATATTTTTGAGTTTAAAGCCAATCACACTGGAATCAAATACAACTTTCATTTATATTTCAGTGTCAAGATAATCGAGTTTCTAATATGTTGAGCTGGCTGAAAGAACAGCTAGTGAATGGAGCAAATCCATCATGAACAGTATAATATGATCTAAATGATGCATACCTTAGCGTGGTTCCAAGAGGCAGCTCGAAGGACTGGATCTCAGCAAGGGCATTTTCATATATCTGATCCTTATTTTCTTCTAAATACAACTCTGACATATTTGACTTGCTTTTCCTTGCCATAGATTAGCATAAAACAGATCTAACTATACCAGAAGACTTTTATTCTGATTATTATCGTTGACCGAGTGACTGTGTAGTCAGCAAAACCAGGCACGAAAAAAACAGATCGTGCGCTAACCTCGTGACTCTTGAGGACTTTGTGTCCAAGAATGGTGCACAGCTGCTGTTTTCCTGTCTCGGCTAGTAACGTTTGCCTCGTATGCAGTACCCAGGCCTGCATGCTCTTTTTTATATGCCTAACCCATTCACCTTAAAATAAAATTGACTGGCAAAAAATTACATTTCTACATCCTCAAACAAGTTCACAAGTGATAAGCATGGAGCCTGAAATTCAGCCAATTTGAAAAATACAATTTTAAAGTCATTTTAGATCCTAAAGCACAATGCTCAATTTCTCTGCCCAGTTTTGTGAGGTTAAAATCATATTTTTATTATTTATAGAAAATTATAATTTTCCTTTTGCTATGTAAAATACTCATGCAAACAAGTAATTAGCATCTTTTATGAAGCTGCTTATGGTTTATGGACTTCATAAAATAAACTAAAAAAGATTTTTTGATGTCATCTTTTTCATTTTTAGCCATAGTAGATACTATTTATAATAACAGCTTGTTCTAGGTAAACTGCTTTTATGTGGCTTTGTTCAAGTATGCAATAAATAAAGTAGTTACTAATTCATAACATGTGTTGCATTCCTTCAGGGAAAAGATTATGGATGGACTTCTACCAATGTTTAGAGAAATGCTGATATCAGATAATTATGATAACAGTAAAGAAAATACTTTTTACATCTACCACTATTTATTTTAATTTCTAGTGGCTATTTGGAATATAGGCTAGAGTTCTGGATATTCCATGAAAAAAAAAAAAACATATTGGAAGACTGATATCAACCTTCATCGTTATATGGCACTGTCAGGCTTTGGATATTTGTCTATTTCTGATTTTTCAAAGATTTGAATGAAAATGTAGCTCTTCTCTCAGTACTGCTCCCAATGACACTCATGGTGCAGTCAACAGTTGAATGCAGGAAAAGAGAAATTCCTCGTTTCTGACTAGGGCTACATATCGTTTATTCCCTTCCCTGTGCTCAGCAGGAGTGCTGGGACGAGTTTACCTCCGAGGCAGTGGGAAAGTACCCTACAGGGGCATTGCATACATACAAATTCGTGATGTTCCCTTGAATAAGTTTCTTTAATGATCTGTTTATTTTGAAACCCAAATTAAGCAATTGCTCCATTAGCATGAATATTCAATGCATGTTCTGCCTTTGTGTCCTAACCAGCGCTGTGAGCCATTTTTACACCTTTTGCAAGAAATGCCTGCCTGTGATTGACCCATCCAGCCACTGGATGTCACACAAATGCAGATGAAAGGGCATCTTTACTACTACTCCTAACCTTGACAGACCCCAGCTTAAGTATTAATTTATCAATTACATGGGGATCTTGTAAATGTAATAACTGCAAAAGTTATTGCGCTTATTGACTTGTTTTATGAACTTGTTTGTCCTAACTCTCTCAGTCACACTATGCTTCTGATTAGAAGTTTCAAAGTTCTAAAAATCATACCACTACAACTTCCTCTGGGTTTGCTTGTCACTAGATATAACTGCTGGATGGATATTTTTAGAAGATTCCTTGCACTCAGCTTGTCTTCACAGCTTTGCAGCAGTTTCCTTACAGCAGGTTAATGTGCAGCTGAGGCAAAGCTGCTTATTACTGATGAATGGATTTCCTGTATTTGATGCAATCAACATACATTAAAGACACACACACACAAAAAAAAAAACCAGCTTGCTGCAGCAGTGTCTTACTACAGTCTGGGCTGCAGATTTACTCTCAAGCATCACACAAGCTATTGGCCCTCCTCTGAAAAGCTCAGTATGGGGCCGCCACACTCAGCTTTTGGCACCTAATTTGTTTGATCAGGCTCTCACATTTCTGCCCATAGTCAAAGGGAAAAGACAAGGTCCTCTACAGAGCAATGTAGATCACTTACATTAATCTCTGCTCCAAGTCTTGTCCCACTAGAGCCTGTTCGTCTCAGACATCTGTCTCAATCCTGCTGCCTTCAACACAAGCTGCAAGTGGCAAAGATTGGGTTGTTTCCCACAAGGGGCACTTGAGTTGATCAACTGTTGCTGATGCATCATCACTCGTGCATCACAAGCATCAAAGCTTGTGATAACTAAACTCTTCTATCAGCCATCCTAGAAAGATGCACAATCCTCGGATGCTGAGGACTGTTGGCATTTGCCTATGTATTTTGGGAGCAAGATTTAAAATAATTTCTATTAATTTCAATAACAGACTGGTAAACATTTGATTCCTGCCAAATAACATGGCTATCAATATGGTATGTTTACTCACTTCTATTTGGAAGAACACCGGCTCGTGAAAACACGGCACATAACAGAAGAAATTGCCTCCACTGCCACTGTGGTTGAGCACTGACAAGTGAGATAAATCAGAGATGCCTTGGACATCTATACCCTGCCATTAAACACAACGATTTGCAAGAAAAATCTGATACAGCAGTGGGAGCATGAAGCATATAAGGAGAGCTCTTGTGTTTTTATAGGATTTGAAGTAAGTTAAATACTTACAGAGGTTTTAGATACAATTTCCGCTTTCTCTTCTTTCCCAAAGTCTCACACGCAAGTTTACTTCAGAAATACATCAAAGTAAAGAGTACTTTGAATTTGTTGCACAAGTGTTACTGCAGGTATTGCAGTTACCTGTAAAAATAGAAAGTTAATAACAAGGTAAGACAATGTAAAAAAAGGCAAACAAATGCAAAAATGAATGACCAAGAAGTACACAAGTAATGCAGTCCGATAATTTTTATCTCTTTTTTAATGTACAGCATCTGCTGTGCTGAAAGAGAGGACAGCAGTAATCATTTCTAAGGACTGATATTGTACTGATTGAAGCTGAATTTACTCAAGAAGCCTGAGAAGGTACTAATGTGCTAGAAGTCCTTGATAAGAAAAGGACAGGATTTTTTTCTACGCTTGTTAAATTCCAGCAATTCCTGTGAAGGAAACATTGCATTGCCTACAGTCTGAACAGCCAGGAGCCCTCAGGGCCTGGGAGCTGTACAGTTCATAGCTGAAATTGCTCCAATCATCCTGAGATTTTCCTGTGCAAAAATATGCCCAAGCCAGTCAGGACTGAAGGAAGATTGAGGCAAATATGAACAAGATTGTGATGCAGGATGCAGAGGCTTTTCCAGAGTGAAACCTCTTTTTCCACCTCCTTCTCTCCCTCTCCTTCTCCTCCAAGTTTTGCTCTTCCCTCATCTCAAATTCCTCTCATGACTGGGGATACCAGTGGCCAAACACTGCTGCTCCACCAAGACAAACCCTGAGATTTACATGTCTGGGGTAATGCTGTACAAATACAGTTTAATTATGTGGCAATTAGAAAAAGAGCACTATATACCATAATATAGGGTCAGGCCTTCTGGATCTGTAATTCTAGTGTGGATAACTTTTTTTTTTTTTTTTAAATAAGCAATGCAAGCTTAGGAGCAGCAAATGATGAGAGGTTCCCTTAATTATATTTTCCCAGTTGGAATCAGTTTAAAAATATCTATGGAAAATGGTAGAGGGTGAACTCACATAGAGTTACTGAATACAATTTTCACATGTGATACCCTTCAAAACAAACGGCTTCACTGATCACTGCCTAGATATTACCTTCTCTTCCTGTTCTCTTTATACTTAACGGCATCAGGCATTTCTCTGGCTGCCATCGCATCTCCTTTCCTGAGCTCATCCCCAAACCAGGCCTGGTCCAACATCACCTCTGGGCTACTTTATCTGAACAAAAAAGTGATATTTACAGCCCCACTGCAAACAGTCCCCAAAAGCCACAGCTGGGAGAGCCAGGGCAGCAGCTCAGCGCATTGCTGCACCAGCAGCTTCGAGGACACCACAGTGAGAAACATGAGCGAAACCTCGGTGCTGGCCTCGCAGCCAGGCTGTAGATACCTAACCGCGCTGAGCCTTTCCTAGACACATTAACCATTTCCTACAGGGCTGAGCACTGCAGCCAGCAACATCTGGGCCAAACCAGTTTGTGCAAAGCAGCGCTCCCTGCACCGCCCGTCCCACTTTGTAGGAGATCGGAAAGCGCCTTCTCCATCCACGATGGGCTGGTGCAATCTGCGTGCCCAGCTCATGCACGGGCCAGGCTGCTCCTCGCTTCAGCCAGTACCGGTTTATCTTTGGGGTTCTCAGGCAGCACAAGTTGAACCACTACCCACACCTCCCCCCTCAACTGCAAGGCCTGGAGAAAATCATTTAACACTCAAAAATAGTGTTAAATGTCTGGAAATGCAGCCCAAAGTGATATAGTGCTCAAGGCGACAGCCTCAGGAGCTGGACGTCTTTGGCCAAGTAACTGCAAGCACAGCAAGGGTGGCCCTACAGACACAGCTAAGCCAGTTTAACCTGCACAGCATAACCGATGTACAACTGAGCTCTCAGAGTACCAGCTCAAGAGATCATACACATGCTCAGGATCGTCATCATTCCCCTGAGAAAGCAACTCTGGTAGCTATCTAGGCCTTCACTCATTATGCATAAAATTTCCCCTTGGAATTTTTCATTTTTCTGAAATGCAGAATATGAAATTGTGTATGAATTAATAGTATATGGGTTAACTGTTTCTTATGCTTTGATCTCAATAATGTTATTTTTTTCAGATTAAACACAACTTGGACACACTGAAAACATTAACATTGAACTTTAGGATCTGTAAAAATAACCTTTCTCAGATTAGGTAGAAGGCCTCTGTGTATGATTCACTAGTATTTGCTACAAATAAATGTTTCAAATGTACTTTGTTAAGCTAAGAGTTTGCAGGACAAATTGTGTGTTAGGTTATTGTACACAAATTTGTTATTTCTATTTCAAAACTAAAAGAACACTTATTGTCAACTATTATAAGCCAAGGAAAACATGTTAGGAAACTGTACTCCTTCCTCCAGCTCTGTGCAGGAAACCAAGGCAGC